TGCCTCCCATCAATAATTGTAGTCATTTTTATTCTCTTTGTCTTTATTTCTGTGAATGCCACCTGTGTATAAATGTGGAATGAGAATCCTTTATACCTTCTCCTGTGGAGTACTGTTCCGTGCAGCCCGGGTGAAAAGTCAATTTCAAAGGCAAGGTAAAAAAAACATGTTAAATTCATATAGCAGGAATGGAGAGCACTGTATCCTGCATGGCCTATTTTAAAGTTTTATCTACATTGGAACTAAGTTTTATTATTACAGTACACATTCTTCTTGCAGAGGCTGGGAATGTAAATGATGTTCTCATCTATGCTGAAATCAAAACATTTCAGCAACTTCAGTGGACAAAAGTTTGTTTCTCTAACTACAAGTGATCCTTATAAAACATCATTGTTAGGAAGTCCATAATTTTTTTAAAGCTTATATTCCTTAAAGAGAGTAATGTTCTCTCTCTCTCTCTCTCTCTCTCTCTCTCTCTCTCTCTCTCTCTCTCTCTCTCTCTCTCTCTCTCTCTCTCACACACACACACTATCTAACTATCTATCTATCATCTATCATCTATTTATCCAATCTTTCCTCTATACCTTTCTCTCTATCTCTCAATAGTGTATCTTTCTTTTTAAGAAAAGAAAAGAACAAGAGTAACATGATCTATTTACTGCAAGTGTCTTCTACAAATTAAGAACCTATAGTGGTGTGTAAGCTTAGCAGTAAGCCAAAGTATGTACAGAATTTTTGAAATGCAATACTAACATTTTCCATGGCTATTGTTATTGAGGGTTGATATCTTTATTAAAACAAGTCAGGTAAAATACCTATGAATATTGTATATGGTCCTAATCATTATTTGATGATGAAAAGACTCAAGTATACATCTTTAACCATTTTTTGTTTAGTTTTCATGGTTTCCTCTTAACAAATCCCAGGAAGGGAAGAAGATGACTGTTTTCAAATAGTACTGTATAATCTTTGTGTAACACAGTACTGTTTTGTTTTTCTCAGCTATATTACCTACACATATAGGCATTACAGAATGTGTTTGTACTTATGTTCTGGCTATAAAGTGTTGAGACTAGTTATGATTAGTACCTTGCCAGCTGCAAACATATTTTTGTGGAATCCTTATTTTCTGTGGAATATAGATGCAAGCATGCTGAAATTCATGATACTTATGGTATAAAGACATTTTACATTATTTGAGGATGCATAATATTCAGAAATGTTGGGAACTTATACTGTAAAATCAATAGTACAAATAGTTATATTTCCTATCTACCTTATAACTAGTGGTTTGGATATACTTTATTGAGTTTTTATGTCATGTCATTCCAGGAATTCATAGCTTACTGTAGAATCATTTGTTTGATGTAAAAATTCAAGAATAAAATAATTTCACTTGAAGAATAATCCTAACACAAGAATATTCAGTATCTCTTGAAATAAAATTTATTTCCAATTTCCAAAAAGCTGTAGGAAGTCTTCGAAAGGACTCTTGTAGGCAGAGTTTTCCGTTTGACCACTGATCAGTTCTTTCTGCTAGCTGTTTCCCAAATAACTACACAAAGATTTATAATTTAATTATAATTATATTTAATTATAAATGCTCAGCCAATAGCTCAGGCCTGTCTCTAGCCATCTCTTGCAACATAATTAACCTATTTCTATTAATCTATGTGTTGCCCCAAGACACGTTTGTCTCATCTATGAACTTCTCATGTCACTTCTACATATTGCTTGTGACTGAGACTCTGCCCTTCCTCTTCCCAGAATCCTCTTAGTTTAGTTTTCCTGCCTCATCTCCTCCTGCCTAACTATGAGCCAATAAGCTCCTTATTAACAACTTAGAATAACATATTTTCACAGTGTACAAAAGTATTATTCCACAGCATAACCCAAACAACGTCTCCCAGAAACCAAGAAAATTATCCTTACTTACATTCTCTGGTGACACCTTTTATGTTTGGAATTCCAGCATCTTACACAAAGGTAGCCAAGGTTGGTGTGATGCCTGGTCTTAATTGTCAACTGTACTATATCTGGAATCAAATAAAACTCAAAGAACTGGCCATACCAGTGAAGAATTTTCTTGAGTGATCATTTGGAATGGCAATACTAACCCAAAATCTGAGTTATACCTTCTGGCGGCAGCCGGAAAAATTTAGAAAAAATATATGAATGCATGTATATGTATGTACCAAAAGCTAATGAAAAAATAGATCATGAATTTGAAAGAGAGAAATGAGGTATATATAGGAGAATTTAGAGAGAGAAGAGAGGAGGGGGAAATTAATGTAATTATATTATAATATCAAAAATAAAAGAAATGAATAAGATAAAAATAATAAAACTAGTCTTGAGCAATGAAAAGGGGGTGACATGAAAGAAGATAGAGGAAGAGGCTTTCCTCCTTGGCCTGCTTGCTCTTGCTGTCACCGGCAAGTTTATCTATCTGTTGCTGAGTCATCCTTTGCTGGCATCAAAACCCAGTTCCTCAAGATTCCAATGTATATTGAAGACCAGCAACTCTCTAGAATTCCCAGGACTCTACCACCAGACTAAGACTGTTAATCATACAGTTTGTGGATTGAACAACTATCAGAATCTTAGCATTTCCATAGGGAGATAGCCACTTTAGTACTATCTGGAACATAGCCTCTGTGGTCCACTCCAATAATCCCAAACACACACACACACACACACACACACACACACACACACACACACTTCCTTTCAGCGAATGACTAATATAGTGGGACAGGAAATATGTTTTCTGCATGTAATAATCAACTTGGACTTTATCAGACGTTTTCACATAAAGTGACAAAAATCCAGTAATCAGCCAAGGTATTGTTGCAATCTCAGTTCCAATAATAGGTTCAGCTGTGATAACTTTATTAACTGAAACTGCCTACAATGTCATAAAAAATCACTGTGCATTGTCTCTCCTTGTCCCATTTGTGTTAGTTCAGTGTACATACCATTTTGTTGCTTGTGTTTCATAAACAAATAAAATAACACTAATATGGTTGAAATTCAATATTTTCCTACACATGCAATTTCTCTTCACATTCTCTCAAGGGAATTATCATTAATTTTAGAACATTGTTCAGTTCCTACTTTCTGTGCTGAAATGCAGTGTGTATTTATTATTCTTCATCTTCCATTGGAACACCACATTCTGGAGAAACTCCAGAAGTTATGAAGTAGGTGGGGAAATGTGAATGTGCCACAATATCGATCAACTTATAAAGAAGGAAACAAGGATTCCTACTTACAACTGCCTTCATTAATGACTTAAAACTAACAACTTCAGAAATTCAACCTTAAAACAAATGGAAGAAGACAGTTTTACAAGAGAAGAAGATATTCACATACACATATCTATGACAATTACTAAATTATTCACTATGCTTTTAATGTGTTAAAATTTTATTTTGCATATTAATCCAAATAGATTCCTTTGCCTATTCAATATCATATTTTAAAATTACTAAGTGAATCATTTTCTTAACCTGGTGATTCTTCTGTGTTTTCTGAAAATATTTTCTATTATGTATAATAGAAAAGTAGTTTCTATTTATATTTTATGTAAATATTTATACATTAAAATATATATTGTGTATGTATATGTATGTGTGTGTGTGCCTATATGTCTTTGTATTGTGACACAGTTGAAATCTCTGCTCTTTTACTACTAGGTATTTGAATTACTTTTATTTTTCATGTTATAAGCAATATTAGTATATGCTCCTATGTAAATATTTTTACACCAACCTTTGAGATATTCTGCATGTGTTAGTATGCTTGCTAATGGAACTGCTGAACTGTAAATATGTTTATAAGCAGTTTTACAGGGTTCCCTCCAAAGTTGCTATACCAATTCACATTCTTGCCTTCTGAGTGTAAGATATACATTCTCATATCCTCTTAGCATTTTACAGTCATAACTTTTACCAGTGTAATGCTTTGTAATGACTTCTCATTTTATTTTGCTTTTGTTTACTAACCAGTATTGTTTTATTTCTTACTTGCCACATTGTTACATCCTTCTTGAATTATCAACCCACAACCTTTTCCCAGTTTCTATTGGAGAGTTTATATTCATTGACTGATAATAAAATCTGAAAGTTTTTGCTATGTTGTATAATATTTGTTGACTTTATATTCCAGTTTTTCTTCATCTCAATAGTCCCTTTTACATATGTAAAAATAAAATCCTAGTTTAGAGATACAAATCCTTACTGTATTGTTTTTCTTCAAGGAAAAAAACTTTCACAAATTATAATAATATCATCAATTTAAAATATAGTATTTAAATCTTTTCTTTGCTCGTATTTAGTTTATGTTATATGCATAATAATTTTCTACACGGTTTAGTAATGGAAATGTATTGTTTGGATGTCATTTATCATTTAACCATATTTCCACATTCATTTTGTTTGTTCCTTACCGTACATGTGTGTAGTGTATATGTTAGAGCATGTTTGCTTCTGTGTGCTCATGTGCATAAGGGTGGGCATGCATATATTTGTACTTGTGTGTAGAGGCCTAAGGACAATCAATACAGGATATCTTCTTCTATTACTCACCACCTTAATGTTCGAATGGAGTCACCTTGCTAAATGGCTAGACTCCTCTTCCTCTGTCCTGGTGCTATAATTTACATGTCAATGAAGTTACATTTGCATGGCTCTTGGGACTCTGAACTCAGGTACTCATGCTTGTGCAGCAGATACTTTATGCATTGAGACATATCCCCAAATTTTAGTGTTTTCTGTAACATGTATGAATATCTTAGAAAATATTTAGTTTCTACTTGAATGGTCAATTTTCCTGTTGGTCTATTTTTCCCTGATCCAATTTCACACATTTTATGACTATAACATTACAGTTTGTCTTGATAAACATTAAAATTGGTTGAGAAGTTGCAAAATGCCTTGATTATAATTTGCATTGAATTTTGTGATTAGCTTGATAGTTGATTTTGTGATTAGTTGTTTCTTAAAAAGAGGAAGGATTTATTTTGAACAACGATTTTAAGATTTCAGTCCATCTTGGTGGGTGAGTGTGGAAGACTAAAGCAGTTCAGTGAAGAGCTTCACAGCATGCATCATGGAGACAGAGGTGGAGTACCTGACCTGAGAGTTGGAAAAGAAAATAAACCTTTTATTACCTTATGAGAAATTTTTTGCAATTGCATTTTTTAATTTAAATTAAAAACAAGCATGCTTCACATGTCAATCCCAGCTCCCTCTCCCTCCTCTTCTTCCCTGCCTGCCCCGAGCCACCCAGCCTCCACCCCATTACCCCTCTGCTCCCCAGGGAGGGTGAGGCCTTCCATAGGGGATCTTCAAAGTCAGAGAATTTTCTCATCCATGTTGACATGCTAATTGATGATATCATTTTTATATCTTGTTCAGGCAGTCATATTGTTGAGATCTTCTAGGCACAGCTTCCATGCCATATACATACATACATACATACATACATTTGTGCATATGACATTATCATATATTATACACACACAGCATTGTCAGGCAACAGACATCCTAATCCCAATATTGCCTTCTGGCTTTCATAGTCTTTCTGCCCTCTCTTTCACAGTGGTCTTTGAGCCTTAGGTGCAGGGGCTGTGCCATGGGTATTTCAGTTGGTGCTGAGCACCCCACAGTCAATGCTCTCTGCATTTTGACCGATTGTGGCTTTATGCATTGGTTTCTATCTGCTGACAATTTGTGTCTTTCTAGTTCTAAGAAACCTTTATTAAAAGGACATTCAATGATTTGTCCACTCACCTGTAGAATTCTTGATTGTTTCCAGGTTTAGTGATTACAAATAAAAATGTCAGAAGCATTATTAATTCACAAATTTGTTGTGGACATACCTCTTCTTTCTCCTGGATAAACACCAAGAAACTATTGCTTGCAAGAGTTTTTACTTATTATCAACTATTTTTCCACATTCAACTGTCCTCCGCAGCACAGCAGTGTGAGCACTGAAGCTACCATGAACTACTGCTTGTAGCTGCTGCCATCACTTTAACAGATATAATGTAAGCGATTGCAGTATGTGCTCACATCTTACTTTAATCTTAATTTAAATTTATTATGTTGATGAATAACAATGTTGACGATTTTGTAAACAATTTTCATGTAATTATTTGTCATCTTCTAAGCTTAATGAAGTCTTTTGTCAGTATGTATTTATTTTAATTTTTAAATTGATTTGTTAGAGAAATTATCTACATTATGATTATTATTGTGAACAATATCTTCCTTACTATAGTCTTTGGATTGATTTTTTTGTGGTATGTAAAATGTATGTTTCAGAGGTTGATTTACTTGGCAGAATTTCTTTTCATTGATTTAACATTTTGCTGAGCTTTTCTTGGAATATCAAGATGGATAATCACAGAATCTTTGAGAAAACTTGTTCTGGAATTATATCCCATTTCTTTACTTTATTGAATTATGAGACCTCTCATAAAATACTGATGCTAAAGGTAATACCATTGAGTACAACATCCTTCATATTCTATTTTATTAATGGTTTGCTCTTGAGAAAAGAGTTCACACTTTTCACTTTCATTTTCTCTTTATTTCTGTTTTAGCAAATATACTTCATCAGATTAAAGAGTCTTTTTCCATTCCTGGGTTCCTAAGAGGTTCATAAATATTCATGGACTATTATAGGCATTTTAATAATATAATTTCTTATTTATTATTGTGGTTAATTATAATAATTTTTAATATTGAATTGTTTCCAGTTCTTAAATTAAGTTGGAGCCAAGTATGACACCTTTGGGTGGCTAGACACAGGGTTTCATTTTGTAGCTCAGGCTAGCATAGAACTCCCAGATTGGTGCAAAATCATCTTAGCCTCCAAAACACTGACATTACAGGCATGTGCCACCTTCACTGGTCTTGATTATTATTTTTGGACATTGGTTCATTCTGTGAATATGTTGTTCATGTTTTTTATGTCTATGTTCGTCAGTCAGATTGCTCTACAGTTTTATTTTTAGAATAGTGCTTGATTAAATTGAATGACATATTTGTGATAAATTTAGAAAATGGATATAAAATCACACCTTATAAAATATTCTCTGAAAGAGAAAATAGTTTGGTGTGTGTGTGTTGTGAAATTTCATGTATATTGGTTCCTTTCTTTGTTTGAGTCACTTTCGTGGGTATCCAGACCCTTTGACCCATTTGATGTGACTAGGTCAGCACAAAGGCTGACCGACTAAAGGAAGCCAAGGACCACACTGAGTGGCTGCCTGTGCTGTAGCAACACTGGGTGGGTTTATGTGGTGGAAGTGATTTTTCTCATGATGCCTTGGCTTCCGCTCTCTAAAAGCAGAACCTGAGACAGACTTGGGAGCAGGTAGTTTACCTAATGAGGAGTGGAGAATAAGCGAGAAAACGAAGAAGCCCAAACTGCTGTGCTGCTGATGTTGCTGGAGTGGGCAAAGGGGGTCGCGCCTTTAGAACTACACAGAGGATGAAATGGTACACATTGACCCACTCATATGAAATCCGGTTGTTTGGATTATTCTTTGCTGCTAATTGCATATTGTATTCAGACTGCCCTGTGTGAACTTGGACAACCACAGCTTAAGAATCTTCTGAAGCAAAGGGAAGGGGGATATTTCACATATCATTCCTTATTTCCTGGATATTCCTGGGAACGTTTGGCATCTTTACACAAAATCACATCAGCTATTACAAAGCATTCCATCTCCCAACTTCTGCCACATAAATTGACTGTACTGGATACCACCAATACTTACTTCTTATAGCTATCTTGCTGGAATTCTAGGGACAATGGAATCAAAACTTTTCTGAGTAAGTTAATTCTTTAATAAAAGACCACTTTAAAGTATGAAATGTGGTCAGAGAAACCCATATATTTCTAAATGTTAAAAATATACAGAACATAAACATTTCTCTGGAACTGCCCAAATACTACAAAGACTTCAGTGAAAATGATTTTTATCAGTACATTAGCACATTCCCTTTTGTATTACATGTTGAAAAGAGTTCAATTGGAACTATGACAGGAGAGTAGTGATTAGGAAAATCGCGATTGTTTCCCCATGACTTCCCTTCTCTTTGATGATTAATTTTATAGAGCCAGTTTTGTTTGACTGAAGGACAAATTTCTCCTCAGGATGATGGCAGAGATCAGGTCGTGACAACCTTAAGTTACACCACAATGTTTAAAACAGCGGATTTCGGGATGTTACTTGCTTCAGTAATTTCATTTTACAAGTACCATTTAGCTCCACTTTGAGTGCAAATGCAGGTAACTTACTGTGTGCAAAGATAGCACCATTTATGCAGCAGCACCCATGAGATACAGACTCATAAATAACTTATTTCTAAACATAAACAGGAAAAATATTACCTGTAAACTTTCCAAAGTACATTCTGAGTTACTAGATGCAAAACTATACTAGAAAAAAAAGCAGGCTCAGGGACTTATCAAATACACTAAATCAATAAAGTGTACCACTCTCCTATAGACTCCATTAGGAGGAGAGCAACTAACACCACAATTCCGGTGGTCTCATCAACCTGTTATCTTACCACCTAGTGTCAGTGGATAAATCGGTAAAGAATACCTGATTGTTCCCAGTGTTTCATCTTTGCTCTATCCCCACTTAAACTGTCTCCATCCATCTCAACTCTTCAACCACCAGTCTATCCATTTGGATCTGTTATGCATCTCACCTTCATGATCCTACTCCTCTTGAGCTTGACTCAACCCTGCAGGCTCAATTCTGCTTCCATGTAGACCTCGTGAGTCCTCCAACTACATCCATTATTATCCTATTTAACCAATTTCACTTAACTCTCTTTTTTATCCATATTTGCTCTCTGCCTGCCGGAATACCTCTTTGAACTGTGCTGTGGTCTCCGGAACTCATTTGAAGCCATTCTTTTCCTACATACAAAATAGAAACAATCATTGTGTGATTACACTAAGGTATAAACTGAGAAGGTAACATTTATTAGTAACTAGTATTGACATAAAAGAACCTGTTTGACAATGGCTAGCTAGCTAGCTATCAAGGGAAATTTGGATACTTAGCAAATTATAGCCACGGAAATGGATTTGGCTTGTGAATTTGTTATTATTCAGCAAGTTTTGACATTGTAAAAATATGTAAATATGTTCATATGCGTTTCTGGTATGAGTGTGTTTATGACAATGCTTTCTGTTCTTCGCGGCTTCTCCATCTCATTTGAAGAACGACCTTTCCCATTCAGCATCCAAGCCAGAAGTTGACATGTTAAGGCAGCAGCCTCTGCCATAGCTGTTCCTCCAAGTGTGTCCTTCCAGCTACTGTTGCAGAGAACTGATTTCCTCTAATAACGTGGAGTTTTGTTTCTTTTCTCAAGCAGCCCTAGTTATTCAACCAGATTTATTGGAGCACTTACTAAATGATTATATCCCTGAGCACAATGATAAAATTGTATTCTTAACTCAGAGGGAGATAACCCATATCAAATTGATTCTACTTTAATACATTTGGCTTTCTCTTTTCATCCAGGCCCTCCTACAGAAATCCAATTGAATTTTTGTATTCACCTTAAAAGCAATAGAACACAAAAATAGAAAAATAACATTTGGTCACCCATTAAAGAAAACTAGACAAAATGTATAGCACATTTTCAGCTCAGTGTATGGCATTTTTATGGAATAAAAGCCGGTTGTAATTGCCATTTAGTGGTACTTCCATGGTGGGCACCGAGAAGTACTTCATATGCACTCTTTGTAACGTTTGTCATCACATCTGTCTGCCCTGACTAATATTCCATTTGCCCCATGAGAAAACTGGAAGTTCCTTCCACCTTTACAATTTTGCAAATGTTGCTATTTCATTTTTTCTGAATGCAATATTTTACACTGTTCTTATTAAACAAACACTAAATGACTAATTCATAATTACACTGTAAAGATTCCTCTCCAATCTGAGGACCCAGCTTCTAAAGTTCCCGTTCATGTTTGTCTCATTCCAGAATGATTTTTGCATGTGAAAATGTATAAAATAGAGGCAGCATTTCATATCCATAGTTGCTTCAAGCAGAATATCTTTATTTTAACTTTCTTTAAATAACAAGTTTTCAGATAAAATTAATTTAAAAATTCTGAAAGTTAGCCACATACGTTGAGTTTCACATGAATGTGGAGAGCATATTATAATTCTGTGACATTTCCTCTTAAAATTGCCTCCATCTCTTAGATTCCCAATCATTAAAATATGCCTTCCATGTTCCAGTGCTCCCTGAGTTACAGAATTGGATTGTTGTTAGTCAGGTGACCAATAGCAAACTCACTGATTGCACTAGAATCTTGGTAATAAAAGAACATTTCATTTGTTTGTTACTGTGTAATGCTGAGCAATTTATCCACTCCAGGAGCTGTGTTTCTCACCTGTGAACTAGAAATGATGTAGTACAGTTTTTCAAGGGCTGCTTTAAAGATTAGTTAAGTTTGAAGCTAATACTCCTCCCTCATGCTAAGTAATTGATAGCTGTTATTTATAATGACAACTGTCTGCCTCTATCATTTATTTTGTGTTATCTTCAACAATGTCCAATGCATCTTCTAAAACATGAAGGGGGAGCCATCCTCAGAAACTTCTGCATATCTGTTTTGGGTATTATTAATGTCTTTACTCTTTAGTCAAATGACGTGTGCCTTAATGTGTAGCCTTTAGAAGTGTGATTTTCTCTTTCTGTTAGTGGGTGTGCTTTTAGACAGTAACTCATGGAATAATAACTTTGCTGAATTTTTGTTTTTCTGTACTTCTGACATAATGCAGTTTATTTCTCTCTCGTTATGTGTATGCTCCCCTTTGTCATCATAATGTATTAATAATCAATATATATTAATAATCAATTTATAGTGGGCATATGCATAGCAATGTCCTCCAGCTATATTTAGCTTCTAGAGCAGTAGGCACATCTCCCTGTAATGCAATTGGTGTATGGACATCATAGCAACAGCACTGTCTTTGTTTTCGGCCTTATTTTCAGTCACCTTTTCTAGGCTCCTTCTCTTAGAAATAGGAAATTCCACACAGAGATGTATTAGAAATGGTTCATATATGATGCAAACTTATCAGAAATTCAGTGGAAGTTCTCTATCCAGGAGAACAGCTCATTGCTGGCTTGGCCATCATCCATTATGATCTCAAGGTGGCTTTTGTGGGGGAAAAGAATAAGGGTTCCTTATTTTTTTTAAATATTTTCGTCTTTTCCTGGCATTCTCAAAATTCTGTTTTCTTGCATCTTCCAGGTTTATTATTATGGATTTCTTTGTAAAAATTATGAACTTCACAGAAACAGTCATTTTGCTTCTTGCTTCTAAGTACTAGATCAAATTGATGGAAACAAATTATGATAATGCTTCAGAGACCAGGCTTTCTACCTTTTCATGTTTATCAAATCAACAGAAAATAAAGATTGTTTTCCCTGGCTGGGGAGCATGTTTCCTTGGCTGACCTCAAACTCATTGTATAGCTGAGCATGGACATCATTGCCTGATGTTTCCGCCTTTACCTTTCAAGTGCCTGGGTTAAAGAAATGCTAATAATCCAAGATGAAATTTTTGTCAAGGAAATATTTATGACCACTGAGTATTTGTATTCAAATAACTTATGTATTTCTAGAAATTACTGAATTAATGTATCTTATCATTTTGCTATAGTTCCTCTGATTTACCTTCATGAAAACATACTTTTACTTTTGAAGCCTTGACAATACTTATTAGGATATCATTACTGTTTTATATGTCACACTACTGGCATGCACTCAGTAGGACCCTATTCCCCTGATTCTTTCATAAATTTAATGTTGTTGGTATGGTAAGCTGTCAATAATATAATTATAGTTTCCATTATGGGCAATGTTGTTATACACTGGGACACTTTTATTTTTCAAACAGTAATGGAAACTTCAAGAGAACAGAGTGCATTGCCTTCCATACCCCAGGAACAGAACACATTCTTAATCAAGAAATTGTACAGCATATGCTATTGAGGCAAAGAAGAGATGGAAAAAGAATAATGTTTAACACGAATGTAAGGGAAACCAATAATAGCATGTGCCACAAAGTACATCATTTCAGGTATGCCAGGACATTTCAAAAGCTAAAATCCATGAAAATTCCTGAAATTGAATAGCAGAACATTATTAACTATCAGGAGTCACTTGTTTTGGTCTGGACTGAAGGCAGAACATTATGGTATATAGCGAGTTTCTTGTTTCCCTAGGGACATTTCAATTCGCTTTTTGCTGATTGTCATGGTATTGAGTATCCCTCGATTTCTGGCATAGAGTGATATGTTCTCACACTTACTTAGTAGTGGCATGTTTTGCTTCTTCCATTGTCTGTTTTTGGTCAGTCATATTCAGAAATGACACCATTTGTCCATGTAACACCACTGCTACATTTTTCTTACATTGTGTCCAGACTTGGGAGAAGGGCATTCTTGAAGCATTACGGCACTAGCACAGCTTTACTTCACTTTTTCCTGACATTAAGACCTTTTTTCTGTGAGTAGTGGTGTAGATGGCCTTGGTAAATTTGGAGACCATTGACTATGTTACTTTCATGTCAAAATCAATAACTAGCAATTCACTTTAGCCTATGCTCACATGAATAACTCTTAAATATTTTTAACACATAGTGAAGATAACACTGGAAATATGTTTTGAAATTATTATGTTTGCAGTGAAAGGTGATATCATAATCACATAACATCCACTCTAATGATTAATGTAAATTCTCAGAGAGTTTGTATATCACCATCCTGCCAATATTCCATTCTCAATGCAAGGATTGCAGACAAAAATACATTAAAGGCTTAAGAAAACCTCAAAAAATTTAGCGAAGTTATTTTTAAAAAAACTCCACCGCCCACAGGTTTATGTGACTTTGGACATTTGAATCAAATATCACTTTTTTAGATTGAGTAAATACTAAGGCAGAAGCCTTTAATTAAATCACCAGTCATTGTAATTAATGTCACAAATATTTCTTTAGGATAAGATTAAGACAACACAAATTAAGAGATATGACTTAGGAGTAGATACTGTGAATGTAGGAATAGCATAAAGAGACTATTTTTATTGGCCTAGGATGTGTCTCTATTTCATGCTACTATTACAAAATTTAGATTGGTTATTAGAAGTATAGATAATTTATTATCATCATCATCACCATCACCACAATCATCATCATAGAATTTTGGAAGCTGAGAAATCCAACAGTAGGTGGACCCTCATATGGTGACAGCCTGCTTGCTATACCAACCCATGTGGCAGGAAAAGACCACAGACACCAAAGTGGTCAAAAGAGAGGTAAATTCACTTATGTTTTTACTATAAGAAACTCACTCCCAAGATAACAACATTAATCCACTGATATGTGCAGAGTCCTCATGAACAAATCAAAAAAATCTACAGATTACTGCAGTCCACATTTAACTGAGTGTTAAGTTTCCAAATCATATTTTGGAGACACATCCAAGTCACAGTAGATGAGACAGAGGTGTCTATCTGAGATGAGAAGGTAATAAGTGAGCTAGGCTGTGAAAATGAACATAGCCATCTACAAAAACAGGAAAGATTGTATGTTTTGTGATATTCTAAGGAGATAATCATACTTATACAAGAAAGGCTAGATGAAAGGTAAACACACTGGAAAAATCTAGAAGTTGTTGATTTTAAAAGTAAATATAATGATAAAGTGTTAGAGGTAGGGTTAGGAGGATAACAAATTCTTTTATATAAATTTTTACAACTTGAACTTTAACATGAGGGAAATGGAAAGCCAAAGTTTGTTTCCAATCTGCTGTTTAACAGAATTCTGATTGAGTTTATGAAAGAATTTAAGAAAGTGGATAAGAAAGGTCACTGCAATATATGGTACAT